CGTTCCGCCCCACTCCTTACTCACCTCCCCTCACCAAACCTTCTAGAACATTCTACCACTACCCCTCCCCCCTCCGACCCGTTTTGCCCTACCCCTTCCTCACCGCCCCTCACCCAACCTTCCAGAACCTTCTACCTCCTCCTTCCCCCACCGACCCGCTCTGTCCCTCCTCGCCAAAACTCTGAGAACCTTCTACCACCGACCCGTTCTGCCCCATAATGACTCATTTCTCAAGGTCAAAGTAAGCCAGAACCGCTATGGCTATACTACTTGTAAAACGGCTGTTTTCCTCACGGCGTGCGAAAAGTTCACGAGCGTGCGCAAAGTTTCGCTTCAAGGAGAGTCTGCAATAAACACGCGTTATTAATTTATATCACGTTGCTAAGGTAACTAATAGATCTATATTTATTGTGACGCGACGCAAATGGAAGACGTACGTCGATTGTAAACGTTGCCTTACGCACTCGAAATTCATTTTATGTCATGGGGCCCAGAATCCGCGATTCTACCGAGCGAAGCGAGGTTAGAATCGCATGATTCTGGGCAGCTATGGCATAAAAAACTTTTCATTAATTTTTGAAAGTGATTCTCCAAAGTGGAATTGTGTGGAAAAAAATGAGAAAATTACAACAATATCTGACTACTTCAAAATTTATTTTGTACATATCCTTTTCGAAACCACTTCCATCATTATTATTGTCATAGAAGGGAGTTCCACATTTTCCAATGATAGAAATTCATAAATCGTTTTATGAGTATTGGAATTAGAACTAAATTTTTCTCCGTTTTTTTTGAAGATTTTTCATCGATTTTGGTGGAAAAATCAAGTTCAGAGTTCTAAAGGTCACATCACAAAATCATTGCAAAATTTTCTAGAGTGAAATTGAGCTTAAATGGAAGTTCTGAAGTTCAACTATTTGTACCGAAGCCTATTAACGAAAAATGAATGAGTTGTCGAATTACTTGAATATTCTTGAACATTAGGTTAGCAGGAAATGAACGATTTGATGAAAACTACCCCTTGATTTTAGTAGCCGTGTAGGGTATTGATTTTTTAAGAATTTCTAAGAATTCTAGTAGAGAATGAAATTACTCCAATGAAAGTTGAAAAACTTTTAGTAAATATTCCACATAAATATTACAACTTTCACCCAAAATATTAACAATAATTTTTAACAGACTTGGTGTATTTTCTATACTAAGAAAAATTTCTAGTGAAAACTTTCTAAAATCTCTAAAAATTTCCAGAATTTCTAGCCATAAAAAAAAATGAAAAACAGGGAAACTTACATTATTTTGCGGAAATTTTTCGTAACCATCAGATAAAAAAGTTCTACTTCTCAATAGTTTTACTTACATCGAGTATAATTGTACTCAAAGTAAGGCACATTTTTTCTTATATTGGCCAAATCTTAGTTCTGGAATTCAAAATGATTGGGTTTGTAAAATAATAATTGTTCTTCTTGAAACAAGAACATCCGTGTTCTTATATTTATAAATTCCTGATTCAAAAAATATCACCTTACTGTTAATTAATTAATGTTCAATCACCTAAATTAGTAGTGAATCGCATTCCACAATCTTATCCCTTTCAAATGTTTCTAATGTAAGAACCTGCACACAAAAAAACGGTTTATTTGAGGTAAATAAACTTTATTTGAATCAAATACAGTTTGTTCACGTCAAATTAACCAGTTTTCTACAGGTACTGATTCTCCACCTAAGATTTTTACGTAAATCTAGGGGGCTACGTCCCCTCCTCGCTCCGTTCATTAAGCCCTATATGAGCCTCACATGACCCCCATGTAGCCCCCCATGAATCCTATGACCCCATGGCCCTTATTCTGACCCTTGTGACCTTTATTTCGACCTTTAATTTGATCCTCATTATAACCCTCATGACCCATATTTAGACCCTGGTGACCTTTACTTTCTGACCCCTGGTTTTTGACCCCTATGACCCTTATTTGGACCCTTGTAACCCTTACTCTGATACTTGTGACCCTTATTTGGACTTTTAATCTGATCCTTGTGACTCTTATATTTTTTATCCTTATGACCTTTAGTTTGAACTATATGACCTGTCATTTGACCCTGATTCTGATCCTTGCGATACTTAATTTGACCTTTGTGTCCTTTATACTGACCTTCGTGACCTTTATTCCGACCCTCATGACCCTTATTTTGACTCTTGTGACCCTTAATTTTGGAGTATTAATTTCAATACCAAATTTTTACCACCAGAAATCGATCTGGATTTTTACAATATAGAGAGGAAGATGCTTAGGTTTTTAGTACTGAATTTAACGATTTTTCTTCATGAAATCACGAGTTTCTTGAAACTAGTATCTAGGTTCAAAAAAATTTTTTTTTCTCTACAGAATAGTCCTTACTTAGCTTTTCGCTTTCTGTGTAACACCCAAAATTTCTCAAAATATTGAAAAATAACTTCAACAAACAACCTAAATACCAACACTTAAAATCTCTTCTACACATTCTCTCCAATGCCTTGCGAACACGTTGCATGGAAACCCGTAATTAAACGCACTAAAACTTAACCATCGTGGAGGACAAACGGCTGCAGCACGACTTAATAAAGCCGCCACGTCGATCTACCCCCATTTTCACTATCTCCCCAAGTCCAATATTATCGCGTTATTAAAGCAGAGCATTAAAATACGAGCTTGTGTACAACACGCCGCTTTGGCCCTATTATCTTCAGCCATCGATCTCACTCACACGTTTTCTCTCCCATTTCACATAGGCATCAGGTTTATTGGTATTTCTCGGGCTAATACCTGTTTCACTTCTCACGCTCCACTCTCTTAATGTCCATTTCTTTATTGTTTTTTCCTCTGTCTCTGCATGTACATTCACTGCATACATCGCAAAATGCTGTTAACTTCATTCTAAACGTACATTGACGGGGTGAGGAAAGGACAGAGGTGGAGGAGGAGTAGAAGAGAAAAAAAAAGAAATTGTAACGGACGTATTTTACGAGGAGTGAGATCGTTTTTCTCTCGAATTGATCGAGAAATAGCGAGACTCCTTGGGAATTCAGACGTTTCGCTCCGTTTTTACTGTCGCTCGTTTTCACGCTCTTGGGGTGGAGCAGGGAAAACGAGAGGAAACAGAGTGCCAGAGGAGAAGCGGAAATAGAAAACAGAAATGTTATCCTTTAAATGGTGTTAAACTTGTTGTGTACTGAATTGAGACAATTGCGCTATTTTTCTTGCTGGTGTAATGGATTTTTTGTCTCGGAATCGAATAATGAGGAATGGTTAGATGGAAAAGGGTAAAACAATCTATTTGAAACGAGACATTTTGGAGATTATTTCCCGAGAACGGATCACGACCAAATCAGAATGCTGCAGTTGGGATCACGTGTACACTTTAATTTTGGCTTTTGCATACTATATTTTGCACAGAAAAAAACAAGTCGAGAATAAGCGCACAGAGGCAAAAATAATCGATAAAATGACGATGTGTGACTTTTTAGAAAAAAAGATTTTTGGATGAATTGCTCTACACCAGGGTGTATTGAATCAATCGACACAAAAGTTTATACAGAAGTGTGACTCAATAAGACTAATTAGTAAAGGAATACCAATTTTGTGACGAAATTTGAGATTTTTCGCTTCAAACTTCTTTTTCCGTGAAGATTTATAAAAATTTTCCACCGACTGTAATGGTTAGGTTGTTGAGGTGTTGCTCCGGCGGACATTCAAGCAAAGCAGCGTTGAGCTGGGTTAGTACTTGGATGGGTGACCGCTTAGGAACACCTCGCTTGCACAAAAATTGCGGGCGGTAGGTACGGTGTAGCGGCCTAGTGTCTCCATCTAGTCAGTGTGACAGATGGATATATTAGGGCACTGCACAATCGCCCGGCTGTGCGACTGGGGTTTTACATGGTTTCCCGTGCAGTCCTAGCTCGAATGGGGCACAGCTAAGAGTAAGACGGCCATGATACCGCAGATAATAATGAGAGGAAAAAGAAAGGAGGGGAGGCAGGCTAGAGGAGGGGTTTCAAATCGAGAATTACTTCGATAAAACCAATGAAATAGAAAAAAATAAAAAAATAAATATAAAAATTTTTCGGAAAATTCGCACACGCATGCGGACATAAGCACATGCATACGGCATTCTAAAGTATCATTTCTTCAAGTTTCATGACATTCTACGTCATTTCCAGGTGAAATTAGAAGATCGTCAAAATCAATGATTACAAAGCTTTCATTCGGAACCAAAAATGTTTTTATTTTCAAGGATATGTTACTGATTTTCAGGAATTCATTCACGATTCTTAGGGATTCGTGATGGAGAAATTGAATGAGTACGAATTTCTGAGAGGCAACAATTTTGATACTATTTTTTAGTAACATTATCACTCATTTCCAGCGAAATCATCACTCATTTTTAGAAACATTGTCATTAATTTTCGGGAAAATTGCGCTGATTTTCAAGGATCCATTTTCAGAAATGTAATTTATTAAGTCGACAATTTCAAATTCAATAAACTATCAAGATTCGAATTTATTTTGTTACGTTTTACCTTTTTGCAACTGGTTTATTTTGATTCTAATACTTTTTATAATAGTGCAGACCTATCCTACTGATTCATTGTATACATATGTTTTATATAAAAAATTTAGTAGCAATCAAAATTCAGATTAATTGTTTGAGTAGGTAAGGACAACGATTTCGTGCGAATGATAACGAAACATGGTGCCAAAGCTCGGTTTGTCCTCGTTCCAGCATAGTCGGCCTACTCTTGTTAACCAAGATTGGCCTAGCAATAGAAGACCAACTGTTTGTGTCAGGCATGGCATGGTGTTATCAGTCACATACTCAACCAGTACTGGCCAAGTCTAGTTGCAGGTTGTGGACCGAGCGTCGTAGGTACAGAGCGAACGCTGGGCCAAGGCTGGCACACCCCGTCAACAAACATATAAAAAAAGATATAATATGGGCCAATTCCATGTATTTCTCAAATTTTATATTTTTTTATATAAATTGGGCCAATTTAAGATATTTTTTAACATATTTTTCGAAATATAAATTTTTTCGTTTCGAGACATTCCTAAACTACTACCAGGATTTTAATCAGTGTCAAGTATCACAAATAATTGGTTATCAATGTCTAAAAATCAGGGACATGTTCCTCAAAATTAAAATTTTGCACTCTCTAAGAATTTATTTGCTCTCGAACGAGTGACTTCACAACCGTACCCGGACTGTCCGCTATCCGTTCTCGTGAAATAATCCGACAAATAATCCTCGAGCTTCTAATTTACCTAGTACACCCCTCAGCTTTCTCTGGAAACAAACAATCGTGTCAAGTCTTACGCGAAGATCCTACGCGCAAGCGCCTCGGATTTCTTAACCTGCAAAACTCGACACTTTCCTTTGTTGTTACGTTTAACGAGTGATGAACTGTGCCTTTACTTATGAAAGAAAAGGCACTTTTCAGCACGAAGTGAAGATAGCAACAAAGGAGAGTGTCGAGTATTTCAACGAAGCTATCGGGGAAAATTCAAGTGATCGGCGAATCCCAATCGTTTTTCAACTGCTCAAAAATTTCGAATTCCATTCAATTTTCAGTGAAATTTATAATTTTATCATTTTTGTTCCTTTTTAGAGCGAATTCACTGCCGCTCTCCTGAAAATTCCTACTAAACCGTCCATAAAATTCCAATTTTTTTTCGCATGTAGGACCTAAACTTGAAAACTCAAACTGTCATTGAAAGACCCTAATCTACTTTCCATTAAAAAATTGAATTTCTTAGAATTTCGTCGACTAACCTGAGATTGTACGAACGATTTGCTTTTGAATCTAATCAACAATGACAACATTGAAATTTCCCATCTAATTGTCACTTGAATTTCAAAGGATCTCTCGCAGTACCTAATAGCCGATTTGTTGGTGTGAATTTCAGTACTTGCAGATTTTGGCTCGAACGAGTGAAGAACGAAAAGCCCGCCTATTTGACGATAACATCCCTAGAACTTCCGGATTGTCCAATTCCCCTGGTAGAATCGCAAGCAAGTGCCCGCTGGAGATGTGCAGAGTCACCGAGGAATCCCGAGAAAGATGAAATTTTGGATGAGTTGATAGAGAGTGTCTCGAAGACGAGGAGGGCAAGGAAGAACGTCAAGAGTGCTGATCAGAGTATTTCTAAGGCGATTCAGAGAAGCGGGAGACAGTTTATCGATTCTCCCGAATGTCAAAGCACTCTTGGTAGCTTGGAAGCATGTACAAAGAGTATTTCCGGAGGTATATATTATTTTCTATGCAAACAGGGACTATTTAAGTTGAAACATCTTCCAAAATAGAAAACAAAATTACGTAATCGTTAGGAATGATTACTATAATTCATTGGAGAGCAGGAATTCATTAAGAATGCCGACAACATAGGAATTACACAGTCTAAGCATACATAAGTGGATAATTGTTTTTTCTTTATCATAGAATATCTATTTTTGTTAACAAACTAGCAATATTCCTCTGAAGGGACATTTTACAAGTAATATTCTTAAAGCATATTATTCCTTATTGTATTGAGTTAGGGGGTTATGCTCCCTGCTCGCTTCACTTGCCAATCCTCATATGCCTCCCATGACTCCTACTGGGCCCTTATTATGACCCTCATTATAACCCTCGTGATCCTTATTTTGACCCTTGTGACACTTAGTTTCTGACCCTTAATTTTTGAGTCTTAATTTCGAGATACATGAAAACATTTGATCTATCCAAAATTTAACCTTTCCGTACTCGCTCGGGCGACGCGGCGCCGCCGAACCATATCTAATCTATAGGACGCCACTGCCGAACAAGTGAGACGCTGGAAAAAGCGCGAGTAACGAAGGCTTAAGTTAATTGCGCGCTCTCAGTAAATACTCAAGTGAATCAATCCTAATTCAACTCAAATTTATATCAAACATTTATTCCCCGTCATTATATTTCAAACTATTATTGTTACTAAATCAATTTATTGCGTTAGTTTTCACTGGAAATCCAAGCTTAAAATGATAAATATCCACGTTTTTTTCGGCAGGAACAGCCTGAAATTATATTTGAAACAATCAAAAAATGATAACAAAATCAAACTAAATTCAAATAATAAATCCAATTGAAAATTATGTATTAATCTTGAATTAAACCAAGCTATTAATCACAAAGCCAAGAATGAATCTTTGAATCCCTTCCTAATTAATACTAAATAAACAATCATCTCATATTAGTCGTAAATTTTCCTGAGTGAGCGTAATTGTTAGCTCGGGAGTATCGCCTGTTCTATACACCTTATTTCTTTGTTACGTCATTCTTGGATTATTGAATTGTCTCCCTACAGTTAGAAATTAACCCACTCATTCTGAGTGAAGGTAAACGAAGCTTAAAAACATTGCATGAAAGATTTGTGAATGAATGATGGAGAAAACGGACATTTATAACAATTGGATCAATAACAAAATTTGATTCGTTCATACTCATACGAAGCCGTGAAAGAATGAAAGAATTCAGAAATAGAATATAATAACTGAGGTGATCACGTTTTTTTCTAGAAACATCGGCTTCTTTCTATTGTACGATCTCGCTTAGATGGGATTTGAACCTATAGCATTTAGATCACGGGTCTCACTCTCTTTCAGTTGTGCTACCGGGCATTACCACACGTATCATCAAATATTTCATCTTCAAATAACGAATAGTGTTAACAATTGAAGACTGCCAATGATAAACTCGTGTCCAGAATGCGATTCTTTTTTTAATTTTTTACTGAAGCTGGCAAATAGACCAACGCTATTTGTTTCATTTTGTTCCATTCTGTCTCATTGAATGTCTAAAAAAATCCCACTAATTGAGCGAAAGAACCGACAAAAAGATTTTTACTCACTTATTTGGCGAAGATGAGGACGCATTAAAATTATTCATACAGTTCATGATTTTTTTGTCCAAGAAAGTCTAGTCAGGCGGGATTCGAACCCTTAACTGATTTAGATGTAGGCGACGGGTCTAATATTTCTCCGATCTAGCCAGCGGTCTTTACCACATCTACAATCAAATGGTTCTCCTTCATGTAGAGGACCGTTCCGTAGTATGTACCGGAGAGACACCAGTACCCGAACGTGTAAGAATTTTCCAGTAATAAAATGCATTTTTCTCATTATTCAGATGTAGAATCGACAAAAAAATTAATTCTTTGCAAACCTCAATATTATTTGCGTAGAAAAAAATTAATTTGGTAGCCGACCGTAATGGTTGGGTAAGCTAGGTGTTGCTCCGGCAAACATTCGAGAGCCACCGCGTTTAGCGCGGTTAGTACTTGGATGGGTGACCGCTTAGAAAAACCTTCGCCCACAAATTTTGGATGGTAGGCACGGTTTAGTGGCGTAATGTGCCCCTCTAGTCAGTGTGATAGAAGAGCACATTAGGGCTCTGCACAATCGGCCGGCTGTATGATTGGAGCTTTCCATGGCTACCCATGCACTCCTAACCCGAGTGGGGTGTCATTAAGCGTAAGACAGCCCATGAAAACGCAGATAAGAATCAGAAGAGATAAGTGGGAGAGGCAAGGCAGACGAATGGGGAGCCTATAAAAGCGTAATGGTAGTAGGAAAGAAATATGAATAATAAATCAGTTTGATATGAAATTTATGCACCTGTGAAGAACAGTAAAAGAAAAATGACGTGTCAGTCGAAACCTCAGTACTCGAACGGTCAAATGGCTCTTGAATCAGTACCCGAACGATCATAGATCCTAAACCCGAACGGTTTCGCAGTTTGTTGTGCTCGTACCACGTGAAGTGATTCTTCTAATGTGTCGAGTTAATTAAAGTTTTTATTCAATTAGTTATATATACAATTATAATATTTTTCTCATTTGGAAAATTGGAAAATTGAGTAATTAAATGACATTCTAAATATGAACAAATTCGTTACGATTCCGAATAAATGATTTTTATGGTAGAAAATTCGTTGTTTATAAATTATTTAGAAAAAATGCTCGGAATTTTCAAAAATTGCAATTTTTAAATAGTTTCATTAATCTTCCTCCAAAAGTAAACTTTTTTGCTTCTTTTCAGATTTCGAAAATATTTTTCAACGGTTCAATGTCGAAATTCTAATTCGGACCTGTAAAGTTAAAATAAAAAAATTATTGTAAAATGTCCAGAAACTTAGGATCGAATGGGGCCCAAATAAAATCTCGGAGGTTCGACTTTAAAAGTAAAAAAGCATGGAAAAAAAATATCCAAAGTACTTGGATATCCTTAAAATCCATTAAACCTTGCACTATACAACATTCCTGATGAATTCTTGCAAATCCGTTCGTTTAGAAAAAAATTTCAGCATCATCAGTCAATATGGTTCGGCTCAACTCCTGATCTCGACCCCTCCACCATCGCTTCATCAAATCAGTAATATAAAATTGAAAGTTGACTCTCCCGTTGTCAGACGGCCAATAAACCTCAGCCTATAAAAAGTTAAGGAGAGGAATTTCAATACAATAATTGCCTCCAAAAACAAACAACAAAAAATATCTCAAAATTCAAGGCCCCTCGCTATCAAATTTCAGGTCCACCTCGGGCAATAATCGCTAATTCAAGTGAATCTATCAAGGACTGCATCTGCTCAGAAATTACGGAGAATCTCCGGATCAACATTCGTGAGGAGACCGAGGTCAAGCAGCCGTCTTCACGCAGTCCCAGTCCGGAAGTGACTCACACCATAAGGATTGCTATGAAATACCTTGGTCAATCGCAGCGTCGACCAGAAGAGGCAATCGGAAACGATGGAACAAGTACACCAGAAGACACTCCGACTGACACGAAAAGTGATGACTCCAAAGAGGGAAGTGAATGTGGTGTTAATGTGGCATTGGACTTTACACTCAATTGCTGCAGTGTTCAACTTACGTCTAGAGATATTACACTAAAACCTGCGTCTAACGAACGCAAGAATTCGACTTGATTATTTTAATCACTTTCCAACACAAATTCTCAATTATTTAATAATTTTTTTAATACTCTGAATACATTCTAAAATGAGACAAAAAATTATGATAATTTTTTTACACATGTCTTGATCTCTCAGATATTATACCGTTCGAATTCATTAATCAATACATAGCAATCACAAACCATCTACGAAACCTATGATTTAACTCCCTCAAACCTGGAAAAAAAAATATAACAAACAAAAAAATGCTGACTAATGCAAGAATAATAAAATCCAATTACTGAATGTAATATATCACATATTCCGAGACGACAAGAAATAATTGGTGAACAAATGAAATGAAAAAGAAGTTTGATAAAAAAACTCAATGCAAAACAACTAGTCAATTTCGTCGAAATCCAGCGTCATCCTTGTATTATACATACAGTCAGTGTGTGGGTCGCCTATTAATTAACTCGACTAATAAATCGCACTGGGTCCCAGGGACCAGTTGTATACAGAGAAATAGCCCACGTGAATATCCGTTAGGCCTATCACGATCCACCGGCGAAATATCGGTCCAATTTTATAAAACCATTTCGTCTCCTCGCGGCTGATTAATTATTAACCTTTGGGTGGAGTTTCTATAATTCTTTTTACCATTTCCTAGATGTCCTAGAAATATTCCATTATACTTCGTCAATTTTCCAGGATGAAAAGGGTCCGAGTAATTTTTTTATCGAAGGAAAAAACTTTATAGATTTCTTTTTATTTTTAAATTTGAATTCTCCGCGGGACTATTGTTTTCCCGCCATTGGAACGCACCTCCCCAGATTTTCTGCCGGTTTCTTCATCCACACCTCTTCCTCTCAGCCAAATTCATCTCCTGCAGATATTCATTTTATATTTTTTAGTTCCTCTGTGTTGTACTCTCCTTCAGACTTTTGCCATCTCTCTCTTTCTTTGGTTCTAAGAGCGAAAAACGGTTCACGGTTGTTGCAAATGATGTTAATCCACTGGTGTTCCATAGCTCTGTCTCGCTCTAGCTATCCAGATGGAGTATCTCGCGTCTTCCCATTCTTCTTTTCCTCATTTATTTTGCGAAATAGTTGTTCCTTTTGGATTTGTTGGATTGGTTTTTTTTAGGGGGTTCAGAGTGGTAATCCTTTTTCATCGTCTCGATCGATTAACGCGTTTACCCGATGACGGTGTGAGAAATGCGATAATGAAGCGTCCTGTGGACCATGAAAAGATAATGTCGAGACCGACAATGGAGGTGAATTGAATTTTTTAAGGGTGTTAAGAGGATGGTAAGTGGGGGAATGGGGAAGGGATTATTTTTCGAGATGGTAAGGGATTATTCAATTGATGATTATAAATTCTGAAGAGAGATTTCAAGGATTGAATAGTTGGGTTTTTCCGTCATTAATTTGAATGAGAAATTAAACAATAATTATGTGGCTTATTTATTTATTTATTTCTTTATCGTTATTTTACATCGTTCCAACCCATGTGGCTTATGGGTTGACAAATGAGCCTTCAGACTTTCGTAAATAAAAATTGAAATTTCATGGCCAATCAAGCAGCAATTTTCAGCAAAATGACACTGAATTGCATTTAAGGGAATAAATCTCAGGAAATATCAAATTCCAAATGAAATACAAAAACGGTTTCAAATTATTTCAAGTTAAAATCACACGAAACTCCCATAATTTACTTTAGTTTTCAACGGAAAATGAATATTCAATATCAAATTAGGCTAAACTTTCAATTTTGGAAAATTTAATAATATTGAATATATAGTCTTAGACAGAAAAAAAAAAGATTTTCAAAGACACGCTCCTGATTTCGAATAAACCATTCCCAATTATGAGGAAACGACGGTTGTGAAATTCAACAATTGCGAAATTCGGATTTTGTCACCAATGTTTAGTCGCATCTTACTATAATTTGATATGTCCGTTTCGCCGGAAGTTCAGGTAAGGTTCTAGAAAGTTCAAGAAACATCCAGAATGGTATAGTATAGAATCCTCCGGACAGTTCGAGAATCGACTCTACAATTTTCCGATGCAGACTGTTCCAGAAAACTCTGGAATTTTCTAGAAAACTTATATCGAGATTATGTTTAAATTACATGTAACATATATACGTGGAATATCTTGAATAAATTTTTGGTAAAGCAATATCTATCTAAGATATATGCACGATAAAAGTTTACGGATATATTCGTATACTTACATTTGATGAATATATCGAATTTTGTATATTTTGCCGCAGATGTAAGGGGCATACACTGTTCAAAATTTTTGTCTGAATTTTCCGTACCAAATTCCGGAAATTTTTGTTGTGTTCCATTCCACTAAAATTTCAGGAAATCTTGTCATTCAAAATTCAGAATTTCGTGGAAAAATTAAACAAAACTGTAGATTTCCATTCCATTCTTTCCTGAAAATGAATAGAATGAAATGAATAGAAAACCAGAAAATTCTGGTAAATATATTCTTGAATTTTCAGGACAGTGACACTGAATTCGATTTAGGGGGAAAAAAATCATTTCAGATTTCACTGAAAATTCAATGCAATTTGACACTGAATATTCATATTAGATTGGAAATTCAAATAAATTGAGGAATTCTCATCTTTATGCACCTCAAATTCTGGAATTTTACTGAATTTTCAGTGAAACATGAAATTTCAATCAACTGTCCATGAAATTTTATTGTATCTGCAGATATATATTTTTTCCACGCACGCAGCTTCAAATACTGCTCTTCAATTTGCTAAAAACCCGAAATGTTAACAGTATGCTGAAAATTTCAGTTGGAAAGCTCTCAAAATTGATCTATGTATCATATGCGGAGAACAAGAAATCTCAGGAAATATACGTGACTAAACATAATTCTGAGGTGAAATATATTCCTGAGAGTTTTCCTAGAATTTCGAGGAATTGATAAATGACGATATATATGAGATTGCAGGAACGATAAAAAATTTCAAAAATAATTGGAAATTACTCATTCAATTCACTTGTTTTCTCTCAGCGCTAACGTAAAAAAAAAGTTAACTCGTTCTGTCGGCAGCGTTTGTTCCCCGCGATATGACGTCATACATCAAGCACACATGTTTAAAGCAGCGCAGTGGGTCTTCTAAGAATAATTTGATTATGCGGTGGGAGAGCGACGAGGAATTCACAGGAGCCCGCTTGTTAGACGGGGCCGCCCTCCCCCCTCACCAACCCCATCCGCGGAGTTTTCTACAGTGTACCAATGCCCGTTAGTATATATGCCACAGCCAAGAAACCCTGAATCGTGTTTGGCGGAGTGGAGAGGATATTCGGTAGTCGTTTTTTCGTTGGATTGAAAGACCAGATATATCGGACCGGATTGGACCACTGAAAATAGATATTGAACAAATGAATGGGCAATGGAAGAATCGAGCAGACTAAAACCTCGGGAATTTTATAGGGGTGCCGCACGGGGGGTTGGGGACATTTTTAATGAATTTTTCGAGCAATTTGGGGGAACCTGTTCTTAACAGCAAAATTTTTATAGCTACACACGTGATAATAAAAATCTGTAAAATTACACGTATTTCACGTCATTAAAACGTTATATTGATGTGTAAGTCATGTGGAAAATTAGTTTTTATAGAATTTATAAAATGATATCATTTAATATATCTATGCTTTTTTTTGCGAAAGTCTAATTACACTGGTTATTAGAAAAAAATCTGTGCTGAGGTGATACAATTTAATGAGTTTATTTATCTCATTCTATTGAGTGACAATTATGTCAAATTATATTGGTTCCCTAATCCATCATTTCTGAGGCAATGACATAATTAATAAAATTCCAATACAGCAGATGACATGCGGCTCACGAAACATTATCGCCCCTTCGGATTGGATAGGCATTGTTAAAAATTTTTGTCTAAAATTTCCGGTACACTTTGTGGAAATTTTTATCGAATTTAATTATCATTGAAATTTTAAGGAATTTTGTCATTGAAAATTCAGAATTTCGTGGAAGAATCAAAGAGAACTGTAAATTTCAGTTCCACACGGAGAGAAATGTTCAGTAAAAATTACGGAACTCATAATTCACTCGCCGATTACGGAATCGACTTAGAAAATTTAAGTGACGGTATCGTAATTTTTTACAGGAGATTCAGATAAAAATTACAGAACGCTCCGGAAAAATTCCGTGACAGTTCCGTAAAAAAATATATAGAAGTTCATGTCACTCATATGCGCTTATATATAGGTGGTATACTTTCCGGAAAAAAAATGCAATATCTGAGATATAGGGGAGACGGTGCCAGTACCGCGCGGCGGGTAATACCGCGTATATCGATTTTTCCACTCCTATCCTTCCAATCAATTTCCTGTCAATTAAATATTAAATGATTATCTGTTGCGGCTTATTTTAGTGAAAATTTGGCGTTTTTAATTGCAGTAAGTTCCAAAAAAGTAAGTGAAAAAGTTTTGGATCAAAACGATGTAAAATTTGGCCTTTAGAATTTAAGCTTTCTTGTTTTGTGGAATGGAATAAATTTCATGAAATTACTAGAGACACTTTCAATGTAGTTTTTTACGTCAATGGATTTTTTTTAATAGTCTGACAACAATGCAAATAATTATTATCGATTATTTATTACAGCGTTTCGTTTGAGGGTAATATCGCGCGCCGAGCGAGGGTAATACCGCGCAGTGAGTTACAGGCTGGACTGCCGGCTGGCAAAGGTACTGAACGTCCAAGTTAGTTTTTCGCATTTGTAATCGGTATAATAAATTGACAAGGAAAAAATAAGATATCCTTTGCAGTGAAATTAAAGTTTAATTCATTCATTGAAGCTGCTCAGCGCTCATTAAAGAGGAAACCGACAGATAGGTTATGGTCATCTGTTGATCCCTTGATTATTTCATGAATCGATGGTGAGTTTTTTCGTCTATTTATAGAAATGCCACGGAAGAAAAAACGTAAAGGGTTAAGAATGTATTGCTGTCTCCCCACCATTTTCCATTTTTTTTGCAGATTTCTGACAAACTATTGATCAGATTGACGCGAAAAAATTTACCGTTTTTGAGTTTTATCATTATTCAATAA